GGGAAAGGGGGGGGGTGTAAAATAAATGTTTTAGAACAGGTTCTGCGACTCTTGAAGAAAAAAAATGTCAAATTTGCAAGGTTCTTAATCTGCCTTAATGCTCCTTACGCCTAACCTTCCTTATCTATTTTCGGTTTATTATTACTACTGGGTTGCTTTGCTATCTTACAAAACTCTTTTCTCGAGCGTTCTCTTGACTTAATACCCCAGTAAAAAATATTTTAAATATCCTGAGATAGCGCCTTTAAAAGATGCTGTGGAAAACACCTATATATATCTCTGACATATTTTTCTAGAATGAAATGGCACTGGACGATCTTCAACCAAGTAGTTCTATTCCGAGTAACTCTACCCAGCCTCGCTCAGAATACATGGACCTATCAAAAGCAACTACAGCCAACGAAGAAACACAACTTGTTGTTCAAATTGCTGATTACGCGCCTCTTCATCCATCAACACGTTCTTGGGAAGTTGAAAAGTAACATGTGACTATAGAAAAGATAATTGGTAAAGGTGCTTTTGGTCAGGTTGCCAAGGGAACAGCAACAGGACTTCGAGGCAGGCCCAGAACGACGACAGTTGCTGTCAAAATGCTTAAATGTAAGTCTTCGTCCTTTTTTTCTGTTAGGTATTGTTAGGGCTCATTAACTATATATTTTTTAGTCCACGAATAGTTTTGCTTAGAAACTCTTTCAAACTGCACAGAAGTCGGTTTCTGAATTGTTGCCGTTTGTGTTCAGTACTTCATCAAATCAAAATTCGTTCCAGAGGAGTCATCCATTGTTTCTAATGTCCGTTTGAAAATCCTTTTAATTTGATTATCTTTATTTGTTTGTTTGTTTTTTGCCAGGTCTGTTTTATTGTTATCAAGGCTGTGGTCTCAGTAATTTATAAGGCTTGTTGACGAAACGCTGACGTTCATATTGTAGATTAGAAATATATTGTCACGTTTGGAGATAACGTTACGTTTCTTTAAAGCATGAATTTAAGTTATCAAACTGGCACAACATTTTTGCCTGGTTTAAGTTTTCTTCTTTTCCAGATAATTCTCCCGAATCAAACAGGAGAGATTTACTGAGAGAACTTGACACAATGAAGCAACTCAAACCACATCCCCACGTCATCAAACTACTGGGATGTGTCACAGAAACTGGTAAACTGTATAAAAATTTAGAATTGAACACGTGAGAAATGTAACATTGATGGTACGTTCTGTCATAGAAGATCATTTATAGTTTTAAGAATAGACAAATTCTCACATTAGAAATATGATATCTTCGTTGAGTAACATTCAGTACAGGTTTGTTGCTAAGGTCCATGCACAAAGAATCTAGTATGTGTCTTCTACTAGGCTATTTCAAGTAAATAAGCCCAAGTTTTTGACAACAGTTTGAAACAGTTATTTTTGAATGTTCATACTTTTCTAGAGCCTCTAATGGTAATAATCGAGTATGTACCTTATGGAGACCTGCTGGGATACCTGAGAAAGAGCCGTGGACTGAATGACACTTACTACAAAGACCCGGATATAAAACCACAAACAAGTCTGACGTCACAACAGCTGATGACGTTTGCTTGGCAAATTGCTGATGGCATGAGTTACCTTTCTTCAAAATCTGTATGTTAAATAATTAAGTTTACAATCTTTTAGCATCACTTTCCATAATCAGGTTATCGACGAAATCTCTTCACAACAGAAATCATGAAATTAACGAAACGGCTTGTACTAAAGGGAAAGTTAAAGCCCAGTTTGCAATAAACTACTGTTATGAAGTATTGACGTCATATCATATTTCCCTGCATTTAGAGCGTTATTTATGTTTTTTACTGCTTATACCTCACTAGTTCTTACGGCTTTTAGTGTCCATGTTAGTTTAAGACTTCATAAATAGTATTCCGTTTGTAACAGATTATCCACCGAGACCTGGCAGCTCGTAATGTGCTGGTTGGTGAAAGAGAAACATGTAAGGTGACAGACTTTGGAATGGCTAGAGATGTTCAGCAGGACAACATTTATGAAAAAAAGACAAAGGTAACAACCCTAGGAACCGAATTGTTTCTATTTTTTGTCCTATCGTCCTCTTAAGGGGTATCAAGCCATTCATGATAGACCTTCGAGAGTTGCTACCCGACCAGCGGGCTATGGCTCTACAATTTCACACTTGCTGTGCATAAATTCACAGTTTTCTATTTCTTATTTTAAAAGCCCAATCAACACTCCAATATTCTAAATGCCCGTGTAATTCCACGCGAATCATGTGCTAGCTTCATGATAATTGGCCCAAGAGCTCAGGCGCGATCGGGTCTCTTGTCGAGATTACCTTTACATTTATTGCGACTGTATCTTGTTACAAGAGTGAGATTACCCGTCGAATTTGTTACCAAATGGTGTAGGCACTCACCTTTTAATCTGATGAAGACCATCGTTCCCCCTCCGAATCTGCAAGGAGTCTGTATTTCCTTCTTCTTCTTTCTACATTGCAAAAACAGACGGAACCTAAAAATGCGCAAACTGCGTAAAGATTTTTTCCAAGCTTAGGGTTGATCGCAGTCTTTCTAAGTCGACCAATTTGATTGTAAAAAAGAAAAGCTCGAGGTACATGTACCTTTCTTACCTTGATCTTCCTTTGTTTTAGCTTGCAGCTACTAGACGGGTAACTAATGCTGCCGTTACAGAAAAAAAAATTCCCCGCCAGAAAAAATCATTAAAGACGCAAACAGAAGGCAATTTGTTTTCGTGTTCAAGTCTATGCCTTGACGAGGTTCCGCTGGAAATGTGTTCCTACTTTACATTGAAATTGAATTGTTTACGAACTACTTCAATCTTTAGGGCCGTCTTCCAGTCAAATGGACTTCTTATGAAGCGCTGTTGTATGGAACGTACACCACCAAAAGTGATGTGTAAGTACATCCACGCACGACTGGCCAATGGTACCATAAGAACCACAGAAAGCTACCAACAGTTGACTTAATGTAAGAAATGATCATGACACTCTCTATTGGTACTTCTAACAAATCGAAGACGGAACGATTACCCCTGAAAAAGCAAAGATCAAGATTGGCGTGAAGATTTTAATATTCGCGTAGTCAGATAGAATATGAAGATATTAACAGCGTAAAAACTAAAACAATATCTGTCATCTTTGTTCATCTCATCGTTATTTATGTAATTTATTGCTGAAGCTAAGTGTTCCACTTTGAAAAAAACCAAACAATTGAACTTTCTGTCAGCCTATTCTAAGTTGCCAACCCCGATAAGTGACAGAAGATTGTATTGAACAAGGATTGCAAGTTTCATGTTCAATCCATGAAGCTTGCTCTTTGAGAAATGAATGGTATAATTATTTACCACACCATAACTTAATTGTGTAATGTGACCGTGAAAAATATTCTCAGCCAAATTATTTGAATATCAGTTGTTATTATCATTGTCATTGTCTTAATGTTCCGTTATTATTCATTTATTTTCTTCACAGATGGAGCTATGGAGTTGTCCTTTACGAGATTTTTACGATAGGTAACATCTTAAGTATACATTACTTCCATGGGTTTTCTCGGCACAGTTCGGGAAAAGAAACAGAAATTTTACAGAAAATAGATTACTGTAACACGAGAAGCTGTTTAAAAAGCAAACAAACAAGCAAACAAAAATACAGCAAAAACACGAGTCGTAATCATGTTTCAGGTGCAAATGTTTGCCCACCAGTCAATGGAAATACAGAATAAATAGTTTCCGCTTTTTTTAACAGCTTTTGTAAATCGCTTTTAATCGAAGTAGTGATTGGGTATTACGTGCCTCTTTCATTAATACATGCCGTTACTTTGTTTGTGATGGAGGCAGCAATCATAATTTCGACAAACAAAGTCAACCGTTCCTGTGGTTTTAGCGATAAACTCGAGACATTGCTGCTTTTTTATAGGTGGTTCACCGTATCCACGAATGGATGGCAGAAAAATTGCAAG